GTCCCCTCGGTCACCTGCAGCCGCCCCCTTGCTCACGGGTGGGAGCAGCGTCCCCTCGGTCACCTGCAGCCGCCCCCTTGCTCACGGGTGGGAGCGGCGTCCCCTGGGTCACCTGCAGCCGCTCCCTTGCTCACGGGTGGGAGCAGCGTCCCCTGGGTCACCTGCAGCCGCCCCCTTGCTCACGGGTGGGAGCAGCGTCCCCTGGGTCACCTGCAGCCGCTCCCTTGCTCACGGGTGGGAGCAGCGTCCCCTCCGTCCCCCGGCGTCCCTTCGGTCACGGGTCGGAGCCCGGCCCGCTCGCCCGCGCGCGGCTCTCCCACCCTGGCACCGCGCCACACAGGGTTGTCCCCCGGCGGGGCGGCTGCCCACGGCCCTACCCCGACGCTCACCTCATGAGATAGTCCCGGAAATCCTTGCTCCGGACATAGTCCGCCGCTTTGCGCACCAGCGTCCCAGCCATGGCCGTGCGGTTGGTTCGCGCTGCAGCCGCCGCTCTCCGGACAGATGACACTAGCGTCGACCGGGCAGCGGCCCTCGGCCTTCTCACCCTGCGCCCGCCTCACGACACCCCGGTACGCCTTACGGCCGCCCAGCGCCCCGCCAATGAGGGCGCGCCAGGCTGGAGCGCGCGGCCGGGATTGGCTGGTGCGGCCGACACACCTCCCGCCTTGCCCTCCAGGCGGCGCGCGCCCGGCGGCGGCGGTCGTAAAAGGGCCCCGGCGGCGAGCGCGGGCTGCCGGTTGCTAGGGACTGTAAGGGTGACACGTCTCTCTGTCTGTCTGTCTGTCCCCGGGCCTGCGTGGGCCTGGCTGGGGGGTAGGGAGGGGCACGGCGGGTAGGTCGGGCTCCCCGCGTCCTGCTCCCGCCCCTTTGCCCCGCCGGCGACGGCAGAGCGAGGCAGTGAGGTCCTGCAAGCCGGCGGCAACCGGCTCGGGATGGAGTCACCGGGAGCAGAGGAGGGAGGCAGTTAAAAATAGCAGGAAGCCTCGGTCTCCAGAAGTGTGTGGCCGCTGCCCACGTGTGGAAAGTGGAGGTTACGTAAGTCCCCTCCGTGTGCACGCTGGAGGAGCGTCAGCTGGGACCTGGCGGGTGCAGGAGTGCAGAGCGAGCTGAGCTGAAGGAAAGGAAAAGGCCTGGGTACGCTTGCTGCTGTCACTACCACCTCCCCTAAACAAAGGAACGGCGCCCCGGTCTCCTCCGCTTTAAACCGGATAGCACAAAGAACTCAGCTGCCTTCGATCCTCACCCTAAAATCTCATTGTCTCAGGAGATAGGGCCGCGCCCGGCCACACCTGAGTGGACCTCCCATACGAGCTAGTTTAATGCCTGTCCCCTGATTCAGTTCAAGTGCCAGTTTTGGTTTACCAAAATCAGACTGAAGACGACGTTCTCTTCCTCTCTATAGGGAGCTGGGACTATAACACCATAGGTAGCGTTCTTGCTTGGCAAACCCTGCTGGGTTCCATCTCCAGTAAGGCACAAACCAGGCGGGATGGTGAATTTGGGAGGTGGAGGCAGTATGATCAGAAGTTCAAGGTCACTACTGCCTGAGTCCTCAGGGTGGGGAATTGGGATGAATGCTGTTAAGCAAATGGTAATCTCACTTCTGTGACTTCCCCCTTCTGCATATAGTAAATACTGAGATTTAACTTTGGTCAGTTTATCTTAACAACCTCCTGAGACTAGAGGAGACTCTATCTTCCTTACAAAAAGTACAACTTGAAGCTGGGCGTGGTGGCACATGCCTTTGATCCCAGCGCCCAGGAGGCAGGGGCAGGAGGAGGATCTGAGTTTGAGCCAGCCTGGTCTACAGAGCTAGCTCCAGGACAGCCAGGGCTACTCAGGGAAATCCTGTCTCAAAAAACAAAACAAACAAAACAAAACAAAGAAGGAGGAAGAGGAAAGAAAACAAAAAACAAAAACACAATTTGGGATTACACCCCAAAGCAACCGAAATTGAGTCATTTAGAATGCTTCTGGGGAACACGGGTTTTGGAATGCACTGGCAGAAATGGATATAGGAACATAAACCAAGCACTCAAGGGGATATATTAGTATTAACAGTGGGCATGCATTTTGACCCAGAAAGTTCCTTTCTAGAGCTGACCTTTAACAGGCTAGTTTGTGCATCTTGTTTTAGTATGAAAGCAATTCTCAAGGAGGGTTAAACATATCACAATACACTCCTTTAACAGATTATATAATATTCGGGGTAAGTTCTCTCATGTGTGGTGGCACATACCTAATTCCAGCAGGTAAGAGGTGGAGAAAGGAGTTTCAGGAGTTCAAACCTGGCCTGGGCTACAGGACACCCTGTCTCAAATAACAAAACAGTCATAAGCCAGACCTGGTGGTTCACACCTTTAGTCTTAGCACTCAGGAGGCAGAGATGGATCTCTGTGAGTTCTGAGGCAGGCCTGGTCTATATAGTGACTAGCCGAGGCTACATAGTGAAATCCATAGTGAGAAAAAAAAGAAAAGAAGAAACAGTAATTATTTATGTTCTGGTGTTAAATAATTATATTTATTTGCAAGAAAAAAAAGATAGGGAATACTGTGTAAAGTATGCTACTCATTTGTGCATAGGGATGTGTGTGCAAAGATACTGGAACAACATTGTCAGTAGCTGTTCCTAAGTGTGACTAATGGGACATGAGATGAAGAAAAAGCAATTTTATTTTTTTACTGTGTAGCCCTGACTGACCTGGAACTAATGACAATCCTGTTAACCTTCTGTTAAAAGATTTCATTGTATTCTTGGTTTGGTGGCGTGCCTCTTTAATCCCATCACTCAGGAGGCAGAGGCAGGCAGATCTCTGAGTCTGAGACCAGCCTGGCTACATAGTGAGTTCCAAGACAGCCAGAACTTTATAGTGAGACCCTATCTCATAAATAAAGGTTTCATTGTGTGGGTGACATAACGCTAACTTCTGAGTGATTTGTAGATTTAGAAACACATGTGAGAGACATAGGATGTAAAGATGGGAAATCAGTTCACAAAGGGTACAAGGGTCAGAAACCTTGTAAGGCACAGCTATAAAATTCTAGGAAGCTTTATGGTTGAGTAATGATACCTATCATGACCAAGAAAGTTCTGCAATAGTCTGTTCCTGTAGATGTCATGAACAAAGGTACCCTTTGTGGATGGAGAACAATGCTCTCAGAGTCATATAGTTATTGATTGAGGACCCAGATTACCTGAGTGGATTACCTCACTATGAGCTGGTGACCAGGGAGGCCCTCGATGTTCCAAAACTGATAAAGGTTCTTGCCACTGGTATTGGTTGCATGCCAAAACTAGATGGTAAAGCCCAGTTGCTAAAGACACCACACACTTTGGTTGTAGGACATGGAGAGATCAGGCTGGGGCTGAACTACAAGTGTCCCCTGTCTGCTGACTAGCTTTTGTAGTCCTGGAAGTTGTGCTAAAGACTACTAGAGAGAGCTACAGCCAAAGTTCTACTCAGCTGTGGACCCTGCATGCTGTACCATGAAAGTGCCAGGCAAGATATGCCATCCAGTGTATAGTGAAATGAATTTTCATGGGCACATATACAGTGTATAGTGAAATGAATTTTCTTGGGCACAACCAGCTTTCTGATTGGACTTAAGGTCCATGTCTCAGGGAAATTCATTCCTGGTGAAATTTTTGTCTGATAAGCTCAGATAAAAACATATGGCTAGCCGGGCAGTGGTGGCACACACCGTTAATCCCAGCAGAGGCAGGCAGATCTCTGTGAGTTTGAGGCCAGCCTGGGCTACAGAATGAGTTCCAGGACAGGCTCCAAAGCTACGCAGAGAAACCCTGTCTCCAAAAACCAAACCAAAACAACACAAAAAACCAACCAACCAACCAACCAACGAAACAAACAAACAAAAAACCATATGGCTGCGAGTCATAGTGTGCTGGATAGTTTTATGTCAACTTGACACAAGCTAAAGTCATTTGAGAGGAGAGAACCTCAATTGAGAAAATGTCTCCACAAGACTGGGTTGTAGGTAAGATTGTAGGATATTTTCTTAATTACTGATTGATGGGGAGGGCCCAGCCCATTGTGGGTGGTACAATCTCTGGGCTAGTGGTTCTGGGTTCTATAAGAAAACAGGTTGGGCTGGAGAGATGGCTCAGAGGTTAAGAGCACTAACTGCTCTTCCAGAGGTCCTGAGTTCAGTTCCCAGCAACCACATGGTGGCTCACAACCATCTGTAATGAGATCTGGCGCCCTCTTCTGGCCTGCAGTCATACATGCTGTATACATAATAAATAAATAAATAAATAAATAAATAAATAAATAAATAAATAAATAAATAAATAAATCTTTAAAAAAAAAAAAAGAAAAAAGAAAACAGGTTGATCAAGCCATGAGGAATAAGCCAGTAAGCAGCACCCTTGGTGGCTTCTGCATCAGCTTCTGCCTCCAGGTTCCTGCCCTGCTTGAGTTCCTGTCCTGACTTCCTTCAATGATGAACAGTGATGTGGAAGTATAAGCCAAATAAACCCTTTCCTCCCCAATGTGTTTTTGGTCATGGTGCTTCTGAATCACAGCAATAGAAATCCTAACAAGGACACATAGGATTCAATGGGGGAAGTGACTGAGATTCTTTTATCAGGTACAGGTGCAGGGCAGAGAGAATGCTGAGAGGAAGAAGGGTGGAGTCACAGGAGTCTGATGAGATGCAGGAGAACATGCCTTGCTGAAAGAAGGCACTGCCACATTGCACAGGGTAGATAAAAAATATGGGTCAATTTGAGTTGTAAGAGCTATTTAGTAACAAGCATAAGCTATAGGCCAATCATTTATAATTAAGTCTCTGTGTGATTATTTGGGCACCGGCTGGTGGGACAGAAAGTCTACCTATAGTAGCTCACTACAGAGAGCCACACTGGAGATAGTATGGGCCCCAGAGCATGTAGCTCCTGCCCAGTAGAGAGTTTGAAGAAACACTACAGAGGCCTTTGTCCTACTGTTCCATTGCTACCTCTGAAACAATATCAGGACATGTTTCCTACTCAGGGCTTCTGGACCTTGAAGCTCTTTCCATTAGCTCACACCCACGGAGAACAGTGACATGGGATGTTGAAGTAAAGGAATAGAATCAGGAAGTCCCACTCTATTAAAGATCTTGATTGGAAAGTGAACCCAGCTTTCTTGGATTCCAAAAGCCACACTTTCCACTGATGAAGAAAGAATTTCCCTTGTGTTAACACACATCTGCCTGAAGTAGGATTTGGGCAGTTCAGTCTAAAGCCTAAGAGAATGTGACAGCAAGCACACTGCTGATAATTTTCTGGAAGTTGGAAGGCCAACTCCATATGCTCTTGCATGTTTGGACAGTGTGTGGAAGGTACAAAGGCTAATGAACCCATCGCTGGCTACTTTGAGCCCAGTGTGAAGGGTGAATGTGAAGAGTCAGAAGGCAGTCTGCCTCCTGAGCCCACGGATGCTCTAAATACATACTCTGTCACTGAGCTACATCCCAACCTCAGCATCTCCATATATGTATCCAATGTTTAATGGTCTGATCAGGATCACTGGCATATCTGTCATTCAAATACTCATCGGTTCTT